GCAAACAAATAAATTAAATTAAATATATACCAAATATATATTTATTAATCAAAAATTATAATTGCACGTGTGTGTATATATACATATATATATATATATGTATACATATATATATATATATATATATATATATATATATATATATATAATTTAAGGGAATAATTGAAATAGTTACATGTTGTTTACACTAAAATTTCTTATTCCCTAATTTCTTTCATCATTTACCCAAAAAATTTTTAAGCCAAATCAGTCGAAATAAAAATATGTCAAAAATATCATTTGATCATAGCATGTAATCCAATTATTTGTTTATCCATTTTTAATGATTTAAAGATTTATTATTAGTGGTGGAGTCAAGGAGGAATCAGGGTAGGCGATTGCTGTCTTTAAGCTTATATAAACCTTATCTTACACCTCATTCAGACTAAAGAAAAAGGTAGTATAATCTGTTATCAAAAAAAAAAAAAAAAAAAAGGTAGTATAATCTAACTTTTCTCCTTAATAAGTCCAACCGTCCAACTTTCATATTCAATTATCATTCATCATATATACGAAGAAAACTTGCTGAATTCTTCAAATATGGTTACATATTATAAATCCGTTATCATGTTATCATGCTTAAGTTAGCATGTATTTTTCTTCCTTCGCATCCTCTTAAAAATTTTTCTGGTTTCGCAATTAACCACAACTTTGTCAGAGTGAAAGACGGTACTTATTTCATTTATTGTTCAAGGGATGAACATGCATAATTTATACAATTTTAAATAGTATTTAAGTTGAATTTAACAAAATAAAAAATAAATATATGTAATTGGTAAAATAATTAAAAATATAAATAATTTTAAAGTAAATAAAAAATAATTAAACCTTACCCTAAATTCAAATAATCCCTGCATTAATAATCATTACACTTACTGATATGATTTCTTTTCCCCATAGATACTGATATGATCTTTATGTCCTCGTTAATCAACACGAGGCTTTTAAGGAGAAGACTATAATAGTGTATGAATTCAAAATTCGACAATCGTCGGTCACCTAATTAATTAGCAAAAGAAAAGTTCTAACAACCCGCAACGACATTGGACAACGCAAATTACAACAAAAATTAAAACGAAGTCATAGCTAGGTTTCAAGAACTTTTCGCAATGCATACATCACTTATGATCAGTAATATACCTGACAATTAATGAACATTAAAACTGCAATTTTTATAACAGTTATTCGTTTATCCTTATTATGTAAATCAACTTGTTCACATTTAAATTAGAGATGAAAATAACTCGAGTGGCCTATTGGATATTTATGACCAAACTTGCATTAGTCACGGTATATTAATATATTAGATAAGATAAGGTATGATAGTATAAGACCTGATAGTATAATGTTTGATTGTATAAGACCTGGTTAAAGTTTAATACTATTCAGTGTTTGGAATGATATTGTATAAGATAATATCATCTAGTGTTTTGTATGCACTATAAAATAAAATAAAAAACATTATATCCTAACAATGAATTGTAATTTTTGATTTTGTCAAATACTTGATACACTTTATTTTAATAAGTTGTATCTAAACTGGGCGCACGCACACAAACAAGACTTGCTACATGACAAGTCTTAGGGCATGTCTTATTTATCACTCTAACTACTTTGTTTTTAACAAAACAAAAAATTTTGGAAAGCAACGTGTGCATGAAACTCAATTAATTAACAAAAGGCCTAAATAAAAACCTAAACCTCTGCCTAGGATTGATACTAAGCTTTTGTTAACTTTTCAAACAGTTTGTTAGATCCTTCAAGGCAACTACGATATTGGTTGGGTAATGAAGACTAAAAGTATACAATCAAATTTCATTTGAGACGGACTAGAGGAGAGTTAGACTCATCTTCCTTTATGTAAAATTTTGTCTTAAATTCCGTTCATACTTAAAAGAGAAACTTACAGCACAAGTTTATTTTTCCCTTAAAATTCAGCATTCAAACATAAACTGAGAATATTCTCATTACTAACTATCAAAAATTCTCATTACTAACTTACTACCCATCACATCATCATTGGATCAAAGGGAGAGAATGTTAAAAAGTTTTTGAAGAGAGAGAAAATGTTAATCTAATGGTGATTAGATAGGTAGTAAGTTGATAGTGAAAAGTTTTAGTAGTTAGAATATCCCTCCTCTCAAACATATTTATAACATCTTTGTTGCCGACATCTAAGTAGAACAGACAGAATAGTCATTATTTTTTTCAGTCATATATAGACTAATCATTTGATATATATTTATATGCATCTGTACCCTAAAAAAAAAAATATTTCCTTGTCTCATTAGTTGAAGAAAAATGAGAAAATTTTATAAAATTATATGCACCATATATTACAGAAAAAACTAGTACTTTAAATAAATAAAAATGATCTGAATTTCGAAAAAGATCCAAATCATTTTATACCATATATTAACTAGCAAGTGACCATATAGATGCAATATATGTAATAGTATGTACTATAATATATGGGTTAAGCGGATTTAACGTGACTTGATATAAGGTTTTATTCGGTCAAAAAATTATAATTATGTATTACGGGTAGTATATAATTATAATATTTAAATTATTTTCTTTTATCTTTTCAGAAATTTAATTATGTACTACGGGTATTAATAGTTATAATGTTAAAGCTATTTTTTTTTTCTCCTTGGTAACTTTTTAGAGACTTGTATGAGAATTTTGTTTTTAATATTATAACTATGTACTACGCGTAGTACTAAGTTAAATTTTTGAAGAGAGAAAAAAAATAATTTTAATATTATAATTACGTACTACCCGTAATATATAATTATAATTTTTGACCGAACAAAACCTTATGTTAAGTCACATGACAAATCGTTTCGCCAATATATATATATATATATATATATATATATATATATATATATATATATATATATGAAAAAATATTTATGCAGCCACTTTAGATAAGGTTGTCTACAACTATCATTTTTTCACTAAGTACGACCGGTCGTACATTAAAATTGCATTTTCTCTCTCTGCCATGTCAGCCGACAATGTATGAGGAAAGAGAAAAAAAGAACAGCTTTATTGTTATAACTAAGTACGACCGATCGTACTTAGTAAAAAAAGGTAGTTGTAGGCAACCTTATCTAAAGTGGCTATAAAAATACTTTTTCCATATATATATATATATATATATATATATATATATATATATGTATGTGTGTGCACGCGCTCTTAACAGTAACCAATGTATTAACTACGTTTTACGATGTAGATGTTATTTAATATTAACTAATCATTCATACATTTTAGCAGTGTTATTAAAATCGGTAGGTTGGACCAGTTGAATCAAGAACAAGACCATGGTTCAATTAATTAATTGGTCATACATGCAATTCAATCAAAAATGGATGAATCGGTCATAAATCAAATTCAACCAGTGCTAATACAGTAAAAAAAAATTAAAATTGTGGTAAAATATTTCACCACAAGTACACTCTTGGAATTTGAACTTGGTATCTAAAGAGAGGGAGTGACATAATATATATATATAGGGTTAATATTTTCTCATGTTACATGAGAAAATATTTTTCTCCTACACACACAAATTAATGGTGGAGCTCACTCTAACTTTTTCTCTCTCTTTTATTCTCTTTCCTCTCTCCTCTACTTTGTGTCTGTAGTAGATTAATCTTTTCTATATATATATGGGCAGATCCTTTGACACCGGCGTCAAATTTTGAAATTTGACATCAAATCTCAACCGTTGATTTTCGCCAATCAACGGTTATCATTTATTGGAATTAATAATTAATTAATAAGTGTAATTCCCAATAAATGATAACCGTTGATTGACGGAAATCAACGGTTGGGATTTGGTGTCAAATTTCAAAATTTGACACCGGTGTCAAAGGATCCTATCCCATATATATATATATATATATATATATATATATATATATATATATATATATATATAATTTAAATAGTTTAATCAATGATCCATTGATTGGACCATTAATCTGATTCCCCTACCCCGATCTAGTCGACGTCGTCAATGATGCACGAACACGGACATGGGACACGACACGACACGTCGATACGTTATTTTAAAAATTTCTATATTTTGACACGTTGGGACACATTTTGATATTAAATAAAATTTTTAATTTATATAATATAATTTATATTTAATACATATAAGAGTCCATAATAAGTCATATAACCAATCAAATATTTAAATTTCATAACATAAATATAAATATAAGTAATTTTTCGTATTTTGTTAATTTTTAATGTCAAATTTCATAACAGAAAAAAATTAATTTATAAATTATTTCTTTTATATTTAGTTAACAAAATAAAATTAAGATTTAAAAAAAATGTGTCCGATCGTGTCCCCAAATGTTGACCGCGTGTCGGAACGTGTTGGAGAGTTGACCGCGTGTCGCCAAATATTGACTGCGTATCAGACACGTGTCCGAACATGTCGGAGCGTGTCCATATCAAACACATGTCCGAAAAAATTTGCGTGTCCGTACATACGAGGACGTCGTATTCGAATTTAATAACATTGCATTTTAGTTAATAATTCAACTTTTTAAAACAATTAGTGCACGTCGACAAAATAGTTGACACGATTAATGCATAAAACTGATAAAGCACGAATGCAATATTACTTTTACTCGTTTGTCACGCAGTTCTTGACCGAATCAACACGGAATCCACTAAAAAGTCAAGCAATATTATAAGCTTTTTCTTTTGGGGTGTGAAAATATTACTATGTAATGAAGCGGTTTCATGGGAACTCTTGCTGCATATGCTTGTATTTGAATTATTCAAAGTCAAGGTCAACGTGTGAGACCTGACCAAACCAACACAAATTTCGGCAATATGATCAGTTTATTTACACCATCCCGAAGGAACCATATAGCAAATTAACCAGACCGAACCCACATAGACACATAGCATAACAGTTTCCTTATGCAATGGCCTTTCAATCAAAGCAACCTCATTTTGTGTTGCTTCCACTGTTTGCTCAAGGCCACATGATCCCCATGGTTGACATGGCTAAGATCTTGGCTGAGCAAAGGGTGATTGTGACTTTGGTTAGCACCCCTCAAAATGCAACAAGGTTTGAACAAACAATTTGTAGAGCAGCAGAATCTGGCCTTCAAATTCACCTCCTTAAGATCCCATTTCCATGCCAAAAAGTGGGACTTCCTTTAGGTTGTGAGAATCTTGACAATTTGCCATCAAGAAACCTACTAAGAAATTTCTATATTGCACTTGACATGCTGCAAGAACCATTGGAGAAGTACCTCCAAAACCATGCTTCTCCACCAAGTTGCATTATATCAGATAAGTGCCTCTCTTGGACATCATTAACAGCAAAGAAGTTCAATATTCCAAGGCTTGTTTTCCATGGAATGTCCTGCTTCTCATTACTCAGTTCTTACAATATCAAACTCCACAATGCTCACCTTTGTGTTAACTCAGACTCAGAACCTTTTGTCATACCGGGTATGCCTCAAAGGATTGAGATAACAAGAGCACAGCTTCCAGGAGCATTTGTTGCTCTCCCTGACTTGGATGATTTCAGAGACAAAATGCGTGAAGCTGAAATGTCTGCTTATGGGGTTGTGGTAAATAGCTTTGAAGAATTGGAACATGGGTGTGCTGAGGAGTATGAGAAGGTCATGAACAAGAGAGTTTGGTGCATAGGTCCAGTATCTTTATGCAACAAGTTGAGTTTGGACAAGTTTGAGAGAGGAAATAAACCTTCAATTGAAGAGAAACAATGCTTGGAATGGCTCAACTTAATGGAACAAAGGTCAGTTATTTATGTGTGCCTTGGTAGCTTATGTAGGCTTGTTCCATCACAATTAATAGAACTTGGGTTGGGCTTAGAAGCATCAAATAGACCATTTATTTGGGTAGTCAAAACTGCAGAAGAAAATTTTTCAGAGTTAGAAAAGTGGTTAGAAGATGAAAACTTTGAGGAAAGGATCAAAGGGAGAGGACTTTTGATTAAGGGATGGGCTCCACAAATTCTAATATTGTGTCACCCTGCAATTGGAGGATTCTTGACCCATTGTGGTTGGAATTCAACAATAGAAGGTGTTTGCTCTGGTGTGCCATTGATAACGTGGCCTTTATTTGCTGAACAATTTTTGAATGAAAAATTGGTTGTGGAAGTTCTGAAGATTGGAGTTAGAATAGGTGTTGAGTTTCCTGTAAGGTTTGGTGATGAAAAGAAAGCTGGGGTATTGGTGGAGAAAACTAGAGTCATAGAAGCTATAGAGATGTGTATGGAGGGAAGTGAAGAGGGAAACAAGAGGAGAACTAGAGCAACAGAACTTGGAAACATGGCTAGAAGGGCTTTAGAGGAGGAAGGTTCGTCTCGCTTCAACATTTCATGCTTAATTCAAGATATTATGGAACATTAATCTACTAAAGTTTCTAGTTATGATTTTTATTTTTATTTTATTTTTTTAGAGATGAGTTATGATATCTTTGTTGGTCAAGTAAATAGATAGCTAGTGATTCTCTTCAGGAGATCTTTCTTTGTTATTCCCTGTTTCTCATAGACGATTTCTAACAAAAATAAAAGAAAAACACTGGTTCTTGAGTAAAAGCAAAGAGTACATTTTTATTATAAGAACTAGAAATAAGCGTGAGATTTTATGAGGAGATGATCTTCTCCTATGTGTGTAATACCTTGTAAATTTGATTCATTTTGCTATTGAAATTTTGTATAATATGTAAGTGCATAAATGACATCTGTACTGTTGAGAAATATAGTCCCACATTGGTTGTATAGGCAACTAATGTGAGGTTTATAAGGTCTTTGAGCACTCCCACCTTTTAACTAGCTTTTGGGGTGGTGACCTCAAGGTTCTTAGCATGGTATCAGAGCTAGCTTTTGGGGTGGTGTATTCTTTACATGGTATCAGAGCCTTCGAAATCTCACCGCCTCCCACTTTCTTTGTAGTGTAATTTTCACATGTAGGTGGGCTTGTATGTTGTCCACCCTTCAAGCCCAGTGGGCTCTCGTGTGAGGGGGCGTGTTGAGAAATATAGTCTCACATTGGTTGTATGGGCAACTAATGTGAGGTTTATAAGGTCTTGGGCACTCCTACCCTTAGAGCTAGCTTTTGGGGTGATGACCTCAAGGTTCTTAACATGGTATCTTCTTTGCAGTGGAGGGCGTGTTAAGAAATATAGTCTTACATTGGTTGTATGGGCAACTAATGTGAGGTTTATAAGACTTTGAGCACTCCCACCCTTTCAGCTAACTTTTGGGGTGGTGACCTCAAGGTTACATAGATGACGTGTGTATATATAACTTAAACTTTTGCTATTTGATTAAATTGCATTATATATATATATATATATATATATATATATATATATATATATATATATATATATATAGGGTTTAATATGTGTCATTTAAAAGGACACAAGTTTTATCGGATGTGATCGGGTTTATTTACAAAAAAAAAAGGACACAAGTTATGTCCTTTTAGTGACTTACACAGAATGTGATCGGTCATACTCTGTGTAATTTTAAAATGTTATTTTTTTCACTTTACACGTCAGCGATGTGACTGCAGAGAGAGAAAAAAAAGTAAATTTCATATTTACACAAAATATGACCGGTTATACTTTGTGTAAATCATCTAAAAAGACACAACTTGTATCCGTTTAAATGATACTTCTTTTTCCCATATACAGTGGTGGAGCCACTTAGTAGCTGGGGGTGGCCTCGGCTTGGGCTAAATGTTAGTAAATTATACTTATTATATATAATTATATAATTAATTATAATTTGGCTAGGTTAAAATTGTAATTTGGCCCAAGCTAAAATTTGTATTTGGTCCTATCTAAAAATTAAAATATATTTGGTAAGAGATTTGGATAAGTTGTAGTAGGTTATGTGTTCAAATTTCACTTGTATAAAAATAAATTAAAAAATATTTAATAAAATTATAACTTTTCTTAATGTTGTCTGCTCATGTGCTTTGTATTTAACACAATTTAAATATATTATAATATGAATTAATTAAAATTAAAAAAAATACACATATAATTTTTTGCTCGGGCTCAATTTGAAGCCCGGCTCCGCCACTGCCCGTATATATATATATATATATATATATATATATATATATATATATATATATATATATATATATATATGAGGTAAGATCCTTTGACATCAGTGTCAAATTTGAAATTTGACACCTCATCTTAAAGCCGTTAGATCAAAAAAGATCAATGGTGTCACATCCTTACAAATCAGAGTCATTGATCTTTTTTGATCTAATTACTCTCAGATGAGGTGTCAAATTTTAAATTTGACACTGGTATCAAAGGATCCTACCTCTATATATATATATATATATATATATATATATGTGTGTGTACAAAAAAAAATGAAGTATAGCAATTAAAAAAACGCACACACATATACACACACAAAAAAACATAAACATAAATGAGGGATAGGTGAAGAACTATATGATGGAGTACACTTTATACTTTACACTGCGGTTAATTTTAAATTATGTTTGATGAGGTTTGCATGAGTATTGATTTTTGAGCCATTAAATTATGTTTAATGTCCAAACCTTTAATGTTGAATTGAGTTTCTAAATGAGTAAGTCAAAATTCTTACCAAGAAAAGGTTAGTCAAATTTGAGCAGATGTCATATTTTTTTTATATTATTCTTTTTATACAATGCTGACATTAAGGTCTGAACCTATAATATCATGCAAATTACTCAAATCCTTTATTATTAGATCAATCCTAATGGTTTTTTTATATTATTTTAGAGAAAACTTTACTTTCAACTCTTATGATTTCATAATGTTTCATTTAGTTTTATTTTATATGGTTTTATATTTATCACTCAGATCTATGATAGTTACATAAGTCTATTATTTAATATTGTGTTTTCAACTATTCAAGTATATTATTATGGTTATAAAAATGTATTACTTAGAACTTTTATTATTTTATAAGTATAAATTTTTTATTTTCTTAATTTTTATATTATATAATTATAATATTATCAATTAAAGTAATAATAAAAATAAATACTAAATATTAAAAATTAAACTAAAAGTTATTTTTAAATATTTATTTTAAATTATTTAAAAAATAAAGCAAAATTTTGTATCTTAATTTATAAAATATCTTTAAAATGAAAAGTATTATTTAAGATAAATTTTTTTGATCAAATTAAATAATATTGGACTTATATAATTCATTTTTATGATAAAAATAAAGTAACACCGAATTTTTCTATTTATTTTAATTTATTTGACATAATATATTTTTAAGATGATAGCTTTTCATCCTCAGGCAATAATAATTTTAATTTTTAAATTAATTACTAACTTTATCATAATTTTTAAATAAATAGTTTTAGATAATTTTTAATTTATTTTTAATTCTTAATTGTATTATAATTTTAATTGATACTATTAAGTTAATATAGAATAACAATTAAGCAAAATAAAAACTTATATATGTATAAGATCACAAATGATTTAAGTGGTATTATTATTATTTACCAAAAAAGAAAACAAAAAGTGGTATTATTATTAATTAAAATAAATTTAAAAATAAATAATAAAATTAAAATTTAAAGTAATTATTCACATGAATAAATATATTTGAAAATTCTATTTTGGCTTAAATATATTTTTAAGATAATACATTTTTTATTTGTTTCAAATAATATTTTTAATTTTTAATATAATATAAGTAAGTAATATATTCTTTTAAGATAATGTTTATAATAATTTGTGAATAAGAAAGTAATTTTTTAATCTTTATTACATAACTGTACTGTAATTTTATTTTTATAATATAATAATTGTCGCGACCTAAATTCGAGTTCGTGACCGGCGCATTGGCTAAACTTAATCTTAATACTAGGTAGTCTCGCAAGCCTAATTTATGAAACTACTACATTTAGATTTATCAAAAATTTACAAATAACCTGCTTGTAAAAATAATGAATTCTAAAATATAAGCTTATAGGAGCTATAACAAACAAAAATTTGCACATATTAAAATATAAATGTTGCCAACATGGAACAATGTGTCAAGGTCACCATTGATAACAAACAAAATCCGACGATCAAACCGAAGGAGTGGAATCAAAATTAACAATGTAACTATACCTGCAAAAAAATATAATTAAGATTGGTGAGTTGCAATGCAACTGAATGACTAACTAATAGGAGCTATAGCAAACTGAACGCGACAGCATATAAAATTAATACTTACTCAAATAATAAATATAAAAATCCTCAAATCAATTTATATCGGTGTTTAAAAACTCAGGCCATCGACTTGGCCGAGGTTAGGGGTCACAAGTTCAAAAAATTAAAAAAATATATATATCAAATCCTTCTCCACCAATCAAACCTTCGCTGACTCAATTTTATATATTAAAAAAATATAAATATATATTCTATATGCAAATTTCAAAAAAATCAAATCATCAATCATTAAAGATTCAAAATATGCTTAATATAATTCTACCAATTACATCCACAAGTCAATATTACACAAGCTAATCAAACTATCAAAGTATAAAACACATACTCTAATGGAGTTAATGGAAAGTTATATCATCAAACTCAGGCCCTCATTGTCCTTCTCCACTATTGTTGTCCAAACCTTGAGGAACATTGCTTTTATTTTGGGGTACAATGGCCATATGAGGTTCATCATCTATAACATCCTCATCTAAATTCAATTCATCTACAATAATACATTATATATAAGTTAGTAAAGAATATAAAGTGATCAAATCATCAAATTAAACAATAGAATTATAATCATAAAGAAACATATGTTCCCCTTCAAAAAAATTGTTGCTTCTTGAAATATAGAAATGAACTTCTCTGTATCATTTGAAATCACAAACAACAACAACTGAAAATTAAAGTCAAGCATAAAAATTATGCAACAACATGTGAAAGGATATTTCTTACCCAATAAAGGATGGCAGAGGAGAGGCGACGACGTGATGAATCAATGGTGGGGAGAGAAGAACCAGCATAGCGGAGGAGAGGGAGAGAGAAGACCAAAGAGGATAGGAGGAACCACCATCACGACAGAGGAGATCATTGGATCAAGGAGACTGGGTCTAGGTTTGGGAGAGAAGATTGGAAGAGAAGAAGAAGAACGATTCAGATTTCAGATTTACTTCTAGATCTAGGCAGCAACGAGTTTTTTTTACACACCAAACGACGTCATTTCGTGCACAATTCTTTTAAGAAAAAAAACAGTGACCCCCTTTGTAACATCTCGGGCGCTGATGAGGGAGGGGAGTGATCGCCGGTGCGCAAGGGCATGGTGTGCAATGGCACAGACAAGAAGCAGCTCTTGATAGGCTTCCAGCAGGAGGTACATGTGAATTGA